TGTTTTTATTTTGAGGTAAGTCAAAATAACGCGCTTTTTATTATAAATTAACATAAACAAATATCGTAACTTCTTATGACCGCAGTATTATTTGGTCATGTGACATAACGATGTATTTATTTGCATTTAAACTTGGTGTTCAGAAACTTTTGGCGGGGGTCTGTATATAAAACTGATCTAATAATATAATAAATAGTTGATTCTCCTAATGCAAATAATTGTTCAAGTGTTCAATAGCTTTGAACTGTAGCTAAAAACTATAAAGTTACTAAAACTTTACGATTAATTAAAATTTTTAAAGCATCTCTTAAATTATTTCTTTACAATAAAATAGGTGCTATTTCAGTACATAACCATTCAAATGTATGTTTTATTATTCTGAAGTAACGTTTAAATTCTTTGTCATCCCAATCATTACATAAGGTATTAAACTAACAAATATTACAAGACCTTCTTTTTTGCCTTTTAATTGCTATTAAAAAATCATTTCTTTTAATAGCATTTATTAAAGATGGTTCCCATAATTATTTTCAAATTTCAATTAAGTTGCAACTTAAAGTTTTTTTTTAGATTTAAAAAAAATTTTTGAATATTTTATGTGCCATAAGGAATTTAATTGCGCCACAAGTTGCAACTCAATTGTGCCATTTTTTTTAATTGCGGTAACAATTTTTAGCATTTATACATTCATAAATCAACATTATCATCAGTTGATTCTTCAGAAAATGAATTCTTAGATTCATCTAAAAAAATCAAATATATAAGAAGGATAATTATAATATGCCTTTGAATATTCATGGTTTAATATTTGGTTTAAGTTAAAACGCGTTAGTTATTAATGTAATACGAAAATCAGAATCTAATCCAATTAATTATGAATATGGATTAGAATATTGATCCAATCCAAATGGATCGATAATCCAATCCCAATCCAATCTAATGAATTTGTGAACGCACCCTATAATTCAAATTTTTTTGCCGGTTGATGCTTTTTTTTATAAGCCACGATAGCACACGAATTTTATATGAAATTTATATTGCCGATCACTACTTTTACGCGTATTACGAATTTATATAAAATTTGCTATCACGTGACGACAAATTATTGGCTGGCCAGTGCTGATCTTCGACCAATAAATGGATTTTTACCATATATTAGACATATTTCTGGACACCCCTAGTCAAAAATAAGTTAACCTCGTAAAAAATTTCAGGTAAACAATTTTAGTCAGCAATAATGAACGAATATTTCAAGCGCGCGTCTTCGGAATGGAATATTTCGGACTTTTTGGAAGAATGCGGTTTAGAAGAGTTTAAACAGAAAATAGAAGCTTACCTTACGTCCCTCAAGGCCATCGCTGATACTCGGGAAGGTAAAAGAAGCGAACGAGCAAAGGAGTTGCTTAATAATTATAAAAAGGCAAGTGGTTTTTTTTTTTTTAGCTAAAAACATATATTAAGAATGGCGTGGCAGAGGGACTTTGGGTCTTTGTGTCATTCAAGTCTTTGGGACGAGCTACGAAGCTAATGTTGGGGCGCAGAAAATCTTTGGGATTAGCTGACGTTCAAGACTTTGGGTCGAACTTGTGGGATGCAAGATCAGACAGGCAATCAGAGATATGTTAAGAATATTCTTCTTTTCTAGGATGGCCAGCCGGGGCCAGATTATAAATTTACAAGAGATTGGGAGAAAAATCATAGTAAATTAGTCGGTTTTCACTTCAACAATTCTACAATTACGGCTATCAACGGCGACATTGGGAATGAGAGTTACATCACTGGTGGAGCAGTGAATGCCGGAGCTTTACCTATGAAATCGCCTCGAAAAAAGCCGATGTATGAAAGCCAGGAAGAACCGGATGAGAACGTAACTAACTAATATCAGTATATTTAAATTATTTTGAAACAATTACTGATCTTTTTTTGTAATTTGTTAGCCGAAAAGAAAATCCATCCGATTCACAAATAATAACATTGATAATTACATTGAAGACGATAACGAAACCGAAAGTGAACACGAAATTAATGACATTACCGAATTTGATCTCGCTTATCAGCATATGGACCCGACAAAAATGTGGACCCTCGAATCATCCGGTCGTATTGTTGAGAAGGTTATTTATGAATATACACGAACATTAAAGCATGAATCTTGTTTACATTCTTTTATCATCAATGATGCTGATATGAAAGCACAATCAATATTCCGAAAAGAAGAATGGGAAGAAATATTTTCTTCTAACCTTAAAATTGTGCCAAAAATCGAGAGATCAATTACTGATCTCATGAAAAAATATTCGGTTACCGATTATTCCTCATTTCAAAACAAACATTTTCGAGCCCTTTCTACCTACTTCATACTCCCACGAGCAACATTTTGACAAATTATATTAACCATGCATATCGTGCAATGCATACTCTTTGGGAAAAAAACGAAACATTCACTCTGAACCAATCATCAAGACTGGAAGGGTGGTACCAGCACAACGTATGGAGTCCCATTATTGACCCGGCATTCCGTAATTTGGAGATTGATCTTATACGTGGAGAAAGCTCAAGCACGGCTTCCAGTGATAGAAAAAATAATGATATGGATTGTGAGGAAGATCGGAAGAAGATCGGAAGGAAAGGAGATTGCATATTTAGATTGATTGGTGATAGGTTGGAGTTTGGAGCTATTGAGGCTGGAAAGAAATGGGAAGGCAAAAGCGGAAGGAAATATATTATCGACAGCCTTAAGCTGAGTAAGATGCTTAGAGATATGTTTGTACAACTTGCGAAAGAGTGCGATGATGATGAACCAATTGTCAGAAAATTACAGACCGTTGGGATGTTACATAGTGGAAATCGATTTCAACTTCTTACGTTAGATGTTCCAAAGGGATATATTTGTCGAATTAAGCGTTTTGCCTTTCAGGAAGTTGCTAGTCATATAAATAATCCACCACTAGCATTTGTGTTAAAAGATATATTAAGAGCAAAAGCAATTATTAAACAGACATTAGTATTAGTACAAAAAAAGAGATCATCCTATCTTGATGATCTTGATGATCTTGATTATGACGGAAAGGAAATTAATAGATGTACAACTATTCAAACAATCACTTTAAGTAAAACTCACAAGACTCCAAAAAAAAATCGTACTATAGATGTAATAAAGCGAGATACTTTTAACAATTAAACCTTTGGTTGTACGCAAAAATAAAAATATTCATTAACTGATCAGTACTTAAATAAAGATTGTATTATCATGGAAGTTAACATTTTTTTATTGTGTTTTATGTTATTAGAGTGTACATCAAAAAAAAAAAAAAGTGATTTTTGATTGAAATTTTTCTTGGCAAAACTTCGTGAATTAAGTTCACAAAGTAAAATCACGTGAAATTTTCCAATTTTTTTATCCATTGATCGGAGCTAATAATTTTAAACAGAATTTATCAGATACATTGCGGCAATTCTTCAACTCTAAATTAATCCAGCCTATATTACATACTTTCACGGTTATATCGCAGTAGAGTTACGAGTAAAGCGTAAGGTATTATCACGGTAGCGTCGTCAGTGATGCTTATACCTGTACGACATACTTTCTTATATATTTTATTGTATTTTATAATAGGATATTCATGTGGTATAAGAAAATAGCACCTGACGGTATAAGAACGATACATACAGTAGTGATGTGCACTAGAAGATTGGAAGCTATTGGAATCTTCCAACTCTTCCAATTCCAAGCCCTCCAATAGATTTTTATTGGAAGATTAAAAACATTTAAACACGTGATTTATATAACTAGCCAATATAAAAACACGATTTAAATTGACATATTTGAATTCAAGTAACTAGAAATACTAATAACAGAACTAAATAAAGTTTTAAGCTTCCATTTTGCTCTTGTATCAATTTCTTGATGTTTGTAAAAATATATAAAATTAAAATTATTATTATTTAATATTTAATCATTAGGATTTACATTTAATTGATTGTGTTCAACTGATAGCATTCACACAAATTTTGAAAATTCTTAAAACAATACTAGCTAATTCTTTGTAATCACCTTTAATATATCTCCAATACTTCACCAAATTGACTAAAAGTCATCAAATAGTTTAACCTTATGTTGATAATCTTTAAAATCTAATAATAATTATATTGGTCTTTTTTAAAATCATGCTTTATAATAATATGTTAAATAGCTTTCTAATGTAATAAATAATAATTTTTTAATATTAGAATTAAAATATGTAAGCTAATACTTTAGATGAAGCATAAAAAAAAAAAGTAATAATAATAATTATTTCCATTAATTCTAATACTTTATGATTGGTTTTATTATTTTTTTTTCTAATTCAACATTAGAAACCTATTTCTAAAACTTAATAAATACTCTAAAGTATTAGAAATTTAAAAAGACAGACTTTGTTACTTTAAAATTTATTAAAACATTATAGTATAGTAGTAGAATTTCTGCAAAATTTTTATCATATCTTACTAATTATTATTAAGAAGAATCTTGCAAATATTTTATTTAAATAAATTTACCATACTGTTCTGAAATTAAGCAACCCTTTTTTGCTATAGGGTTGCTTAATTTCAGGTAATTTTTCTTTTGTAGAAGAAAAAACGAAAAAATTGCTGCATAATAAACATTTCATCATCACATTATACAAAATAATCATCTGTATAATATAGTGCAATATCACAATTAATAAATCACGCACGATCAATCACGAACTTATTTCTAAACTTGTTTTAAACTTAATATATTATCATAAAAGCAAAAAAGACTAATATCTGTTAATAAAAAAACCCTCAAACAAAGCTGCAATTCATATTCTATTGAGCAAAAGAAACAAGTTGTCACTTATGCTAAGGAAAATGGAATAATTAGAGTGGCAAATACTTTTGAACTTAATAAAAGTATACTTAGTCGCTGGGTTAATTCAAATGAAAAATTGTTTAAAGAACTAAACTAAAACTACAAATGAATAGGTTCTGGCTGAAAAAGCTTTTATCCAGATGCTAAAAAAAACTATATGATTAGATCATTGAACAGAGAAAGTAGGGTTTAGGTGTTACATATACTATCACGCGAGTTAAGATGCTGAATATTTTAAAAGAACCTGCTATGATAAGTCTTTATGGATATTCAACAAATGAATTTAAAATATCAAATCGTTGGATGTTTCCATTCATGAAAAGATTTAATCTATCTCGACAACGTTAAACTAAAGTTTTGCAAAAGCTTCTATCATAAACTGCTGAGTTATTAGGAAATTTTCATCAGTTTATCATCAACCTTAAAACTAAAAAATCATTTGAGTTATCTGACATTTTAAATATGAACGAAACTCCTGTTTGATTCGACATAGCAGGAAACTTTATAATTGATATTATAGGTGAAAAAACAATTCATATTTGCAGCACTGGCAATAAAAAGAACTGATTCACAGTTGTCTTAACATGTGCTACAGGTAAAGTTTCATTTAACAGTTTTTTTTTTTAGCTTTATTTTTATCTAATTTTTATCCTGTAGATGATACAAAATTTCTGCCAATTTGCATCTTTAAAGATAAACGACTACCACGTAGTGAATAGATTCCATCTAGTATCATTGTTTAATTTTAGAAGAATGAATGGATAGATACCGATTTAATAAAGAAATATGTTGATTATATTAATGATCATCTAATAATCAATAATGCTTCAACAATGATGGTATATGATTCTTTCTGAAGATATCTTGAAGATTCAGTTAAAATCAGATTTCGTAACAATGGTATTGATTTAGTAGTTATTCTAGGTGGTTTAACTAGCATATGTTAACCACTTGATGTAACAATTAATAAGCCATTTAAAGATAATTTTCATAAGAAATAGCATATTTGGATGGTAAGAGGTAGTGTAGGAGTAATCACATCAGGAAACTTTTGTCGTGCTAAGTTATCTGATGTTTGTAGGTGAGTCAAACGTGTTTGGGAAGAAATTCCAAATGAAATAGTTATAAAGTCTTTCAAGACTTGCAAGATTTCGATTTCTTTAGATATATTAGATGATGATAATGAAGATTCTAATGATGATATTATTAATGGTGATGATGGCGATGATGATGATGATGATAGTGATAGTGATAATAATGATAGTAATAATGGCGATAGCAATGACAATGAATAATATTACTAATTACTGTAGTTTAGATTAATTAATATTTTATAATAAAAATACATTATTAATAAATTTAATGCTATTTTTAATATTTATTATATTTAATTATTATGTTTAATTACAAAAATTTATAGATTGCTTATTTTTAGATCTATACTAATTGATGGGTTACTTAATTTCAGAACAGTACGGTATTTGTATTTAATATTAAAGAAACTCGTTTCTATTTATATTGAATTGCTAAATTTTAAAATAATATTAATAATATATAATTTTAATAAATTTATAATTATTTATAAAACTTATTTAGACTAAATTTTTAAAGATATTATAAATTACTAATATTGATATGTAAAGTAAGATAAAAATATAATATTAGAATATTCTAACTAAAATTTTGTTTATTATAAATAAAAAAAAATATATTTATATATATCAGTATTATATTAATAGATTAATTATTAATATTTAATTCTTATTAAATTTTAGTATAAGTATTACTTATTTGAAAGAAAGAACTTTTCTTTCTTTTTCATTTTTATTATAAGCAAAACTAATAAAAAAGTGCAAAAAAAAAAACAATAAAATAAGGACTGATAAATAAAAAAGTTTATTATAAAAAACTTCTCATATGAATAATCAAAAGGTTCCTTCTTAATAACTAATGATAAAAATAGCGTTACTATCAGTTTTTAAGAGTTTTCTATTACTGCTTCCTTCCTACTTTTCTTTTAGCATATTATGATAAAGAAATAGACTTTGAAGAGTCTATATATAGTTTGACTAGACAGATAAATCTACAGAATGAAATAGAACATATACATAATGATACTTCTTCAAAAGAATAGCTTTCAGCTCTTTCACCCATATCACAATCATTTTCTTTTACTCTTAAAGATGAATAAAGATCTGGCCTTTCTCTCAAATCACAAAGAATGAATAAAGATAAAAGAAAAGAAAATAACAACACATCAACAAGTTTTGCTTCTATTTGTTCTTAGTTCTTAACTTCTTCTTCCTTTCTCATCATTTTTGAAAAAATCCAAATAAGAAATAATAGTCAACAATATAATATTATATTAGACAACAATAATAAAATGCTAACTTCTTTAGAGTTTATCCAAAAAGGAACTTTATAACAATAAAACTCCCTATTAATACAGGTAAAATGATGTTCAACTAGCAATCATTCTGATTGAATTATATTGGCTTATCAGATCATCAATATGTAAAATTAAGAAGTAACCAATATCAATTGTAAATAAGGTATAAATCAGAAAATATACTGATTAATATTTATTACTAATATCAAATTTCCGATTCATAATTATTTGTATTGCAGATACAATTTAACTGCCGATTGGAATATTACAGGTAAAATGCTATCCAACCAGAAATAATACTGATTGTGTGATATTTTTTCATTCAGGATTACGATTATGCAAAACAAAGAAGAGCCAGTATTTATTACAGATCAGATATAAATCTGATTGCTGTTTATAGTTAATATAGTTAATATCAAAAATATGCCAGATGATCAATTTTATATTGTTACATACTGTGGTTAGACGTCATTATGACATACTGCAATTCACAGATCATGCAGCTAAAATTTTTAGCTATTCGATATCAGAACAATACTGAAAATATTAATTATTATAAAAAACAATATCGTAATAAAATTTAAAACTTTTGCAAATACATATTTTCCAAATTCTTCATTAAATTAATAATATATTAGGGTTAGAAGAAGATTATAATTTTGTATTATGAATTAGTATAAAAGCAACTATATAGACAATAAAAATCTACAACTTTTACTTTAAGATGTGATCAATTTTCAATAGAATTACATGTGAAAATGTCTTCCTAATAGAATAACAACCATATATGTAATTAGCTTTTTTTTGCCGATTTTGAATCTATAAGGTATAAATCGACCAAATATATTGTGTATTGATATAATATAATCTCTGCTAATATCATAAAATCTGTTTAGCCAAATTTTCATATTACAACTTTTAATATTATCAATTTAACAGAAAAATCTCGTTTGGTGATCTGGAGCTGATATAAACCATTTTACATAAGCCAATTGATGTATTTGCTTCCTTTCTGATAGTTTAATTTCATGTTTAAGAAAATATTGAACCTGATCAGGAAATACCTCAACTGAATCATTTTCTTGTACAAATTTAGCGAAGATGAATGAATACTTTAAATATCGATATGTATTTAACAATCTAAAGATTTCAGCTCTAATTCTAACACATCCAAATTGATTGACTTGAGGTTAGATAATTATTCTGTGACTGGAACGTACTGCATTTCTTTAAACTGATTCTAAAATAGTTAAAAAATCAAAATCATATGCGACATTATAATAATCTACCAGAATTTTGTATATTTCGTCTGGTAAATTAACGTTAGCTTTTTGGAGGCCAGTATCTCACCAGAGAAAGCTTCAGAATCAGTAATTGTGTCTTCAATTTTGAGATAGAAAATTTGCTTAAATTGACAAAGCTCAGTATATTCGAATTTATCATAAACTGCTAAACTTCCCGAAGTTATCCAGGGTTGTATTAATTTCAAGCTTTCAATGAGTTTCATATTATCTGATTGAGCAGATAGAAGGTTTTCAAGTCGCCAATGCTGCATAATAATCCTTAATAATTCTGGCTCGATTTTGTGATGACTGTTTAGAAAAGATCCTATCGATAATATTTTTTTTTAAACAAAACTATTCTAAATATACTCAAACCAGGTTCAACAACAATTGGCATATGACTTATCCAAGACACTGTTCATCTTTTCAAATGAGTAGCACTAGAAGGAATATATGGTCTGTAGTCTCGATAACATTCAATGATATGAAGGGATAAGTGAATATTAGGAATAATTACTTCCAGTCCATAATTCTCTTCAATTAGTTTAGCAACTTGTAATAATCAGAACTAGACTTCATCCAATATATTATTATTAATAATATATGCTACTAATAAGAAGCAAGCTCTTACAAAACTGGACAAAATTTTTCGATCTTCTTCATCCAAAAGATCCTACATCAATGGAATCACATAGATTATGATAAAAGATTTCCATTGGTCAGCCGTAAAACTGGAAAATCCTTCACCAGTTGCGATTTTGAACAGGATTCTTCTAAGATCAGCTGGTGCTTTAATATTTTTCACTCGCTTCTTCATCAATTCGAGGTCGGATTTGAAAATTTTTCCACCTTCGATCCACAATCGCTTTACAATCCATTGAGTGATTTCTAAGAACAAACAATACATTAGATTCATGATCAGATATCTAATTGGGTTGTAATAGAACAAATGAAGTAATTCTGACCACCTCACATGAGTCCTACTTATATGTTGTTTTCTATCATCATTTGTCTGTTATTTCTTTCAAATAAGAGCATTACAACGATACTCTATCGGGTCTTTGGTCTTAAACTAATCAGACATGTCATTGAACCCTCCAAAATTTGGTCTTTGTCCATTTTTGCTGCTTGCTCTTTTGTGACACTGATGACATCTTATTAATGCTGATACGTGGCCACATAACTTTCTTGAAGTCAGAATATTGTTGCTGCAACAAATTACAGCTATTTTGATATTTCTACCAGTAGAGTAATTACTTGTAACTTGTAAGTGAATTCCATTTTAAAACTCCAGTAATTCGTCAACTATTAGTGCGAGAAAATGATTGATCTTATGCAATTTTACTTCATTTGGTCCTGATAAGAGGTCAAGAATCAACATATTTTCTTTTTGAATCGAACGTCTTGTGGAAGATTACAAATCACGCTATATATTATGTTACAACTATAAGAAGCCAAATCAAAGGGTTGAAACCAATCTAAGTTTACTATAATTCTTAAGTGCGAATCGGCTGTTTCAGATGTAAAAAATTGAGAATGTTTTGAATTATCTGGATTATCGAGATGTGATAGGAAAGTCTTTTAGATTTCGCCATCATAGATATCAGTCATAAAGCTAGTTTCAGTATTTCGACTTGCCCATTTATTCAAAAGTGATTCAAATCCTGGTCTTTGATACATCGATAATATTTGATTCTTTAAAGATGATAATGGATATACCATTCTTGGTCACCAAATGTATCCATTATTTACCAGAACCTTCATTAACATTTCTGAATCACAGAATTTACGTTGACTCTATATCAGATGATTTGGGAATTCGATATAGATGTATTTAAATCTTAAATTTATATTATTATCTGAATTTGCTGGAATTATTGCTGTAGAATCATATAACTTGTTATAATCTGGACAAGTCGCAAAGATTTTTGATTTTTTTCTGATATTTAACAACTTTCTAGTTATATAAGTGGTTGAAAAAAATTCTTTAAATCGACGTGAATAAATATCTTTTAAGACGAGGCTAAAGAAACCAATCAATGAGTTGATTACGACATCAGAAAGTCTAAACCTTTCTTGATACTTAAATATTCAGAGAAGGATCCACGAATCGCTTACATTCATATTCATAGTAGAATCTTCTTGATCAGAATCGTAATTAATATCAACACCAGAGGTCACAAATAACTCAATCGGAATCTCGTCATCACTAAAGAGTGGTCTATCATCATCTAATGCTAGTTCATCATTAACAGACTGAGATCCTTCTTCATCCTCAAATTCATCAGATGAATCAACTTGTTGTTTAGGTTTTTCATCTATAACGATAATGGTATTGATAATATTATTGATCTTGTGAAACTGATTATACCTTCGTTGCTTTTTTCTAGTAGGAACTTACTTCATAATAAAAAATTCATCATCAGATTGTTCTTGATTATTATTAATTATCACATTATCTTCACGAAGATTTTGAGAAGAACTAACCATGATTAATTAAACTTCAGCCAAAGAACGACTCTCTGAATTACTAGAATACATTGGTATTGAATCAATCTCTCTTTCTTTGCCTTTTTTTTACTTTAGAGATAGAAGCTTAGAGTCAGTTTTCTTCTACTTTGTGTTTTGTCTTGTCATTGTGTTAACCAGTTTGCCATTACATTTTTTACAGTTACACTGTAATTTTGGTTGAACTTTTGTAGATTTTATTACTGGTGTTGCTGATGCTACTAATACTTCTTTATCTAATCCTTTTTTTATTGCTCGTTTAACCATTTTTTAAAATATAAAAAAAATCAGAGAATAAACTAATGAAACAAATGCTAAACGCGCATATATATATATATATAATCATACCTATAGAAAAACAATCATACAGTAAGTAAAAAAGCTTAAACTTTGATCTGCTGACATTAAACTTTTTACATTTTTACTATGCTCTATACTAAACGCGTTTATTTAATAAATATAAAAGAATAAACTTTTAAAACAACTAAAAAAAATTTCTTTTCTTTTTATATTCATATTAATAATGACTTATTGCTCTAACAAAAGTAAGTCATTTTCTCATTTGGAATAAGGTCAAGATAGTTCTCAGTCAAGAAGCAAAAGAGATATGAATAGAAACAGGAGAAATACTTTCAAGCGAAACAAAAAACACATCAAACGTAATCAGTGAGTTATAACATAACAACAATATTATTCGCTTGTTTCACTTGTATAACCAAATATATTATTTCATAACCATTAGCATAGGTCTCCATCGTCTAATTTGGAGTCTGATAGAAAATCTTACGAAAAACCATTGTATCACAAAAAAAAATAATTATAAAACAGATGAGAAGAATTAAGGCAAGTTTTAATTTATCATTATTAATTATACATTATATTATTATATACATATTCATTATAACTTTCAGATTAAGTTGTTTCATTCTTACAATATGGCGAAATTCATAATCTGATTAAGGAATTTATAAAAAGCAAAATGAAGAAACCAGTACCTGATAATATTCTTCTTCCAGATTCGTTTAGCGTAAATAAAGACAATAATGATTTATAAATCCTATCAGAATGATATTCAGACAATTATTCTGATGCTGAAGATATCGATATTAAATTGTCTGATCAGATATATGCAGTAGTCTCGACAGAAAACAATTCCAATCACAGTTAGTTTTCAGGAGAAAAATTAAAAGAACATATAGTTTTTCTAGATCTGGTTCAAATTCTTCTAATCCTAATCAGGATGAAGGTGCTAGAATGCCTCAGTATTTATATTTGACGGACTTACCTGATAATCTTTGAGAAGCTTTGAGGGTAAGTAATTTTTCGTTACTTTATTTTATCGTAATATACACTTATGCTATAACTATTTATTTTCAGCATTAAGTTTTTTGGATAATCGAAAGATTATTATCTGAAAGCTGATTAAAATTGGATAAGACATTTGATGCTTAACGTCACCTCGTAAATGATACAATAATCCCAGCTGTTATAGAAGCTTTAGATTCAGATATGTTTTCTGTTGCAGAGGCTATTATATACAATATGATTCACAATCGATACAAGCACTAACGTGAAAAGTACTTAAAAAATAATAATCGTCAACCTTTCAAGATAAAGAGGCCAGACAAAAATATTTAAATAGCCAAAGAAATGATGTAAATAATGAACGAATTCATTTTTCTTTTATTCTTTACTAATTTATTATATTCAATAATTACAGAAACGAAAAAATTAGACTAATACAATTGAGCATTTAGAAGCTATTGGGGATCCATTAATTTGAATGTTCAATGATAGTGAACTTCGATTAATCAAGAATGATTCCTTATACCACTCACCCAAAGTATCAGAAACTGATAAGGATAATCCTTCTAGAAAACGAAAGATTGTTGTAAAGGATCTAAAATAAAGTTCAGCAACGGTAACATCAATAAATATCATTTGAATAAGCTTTTAATTATTATGCATAAACTAATTTTCCTAAATTTATTTGTAGTTACAATTATTTTTTTGCAATTATATCGATTGTATATTTTCTGAATCATCTAAAGTTTCAAAAAAATGAATTTGTGTTTATGATGAAATTAATACTTATGATAAAGAGTACACAGCATCATTTTAGGCTTTAAAATGGACAGTTGACAGCTATAAAGGTTCCTTGAAGGTAGCTATCGAAAGGTATTATAGAGAGCGATTATCTAATTTGCCTCAATAACGATTGAAAACACCTGATCCAAATAAAACAACTGATTCAAGTGAGAACGAAAATATTGATTTACAACTAAGGCTACCAAGAAAAGCAAAAGAAAATAACAGATCGCTGTTAATGATAATCTGTTTGCGTCACTAAATGACTACACCAACTAACGTCACCAATGATCATCAGGTAAATCGTGATCATCATTTTCACTGCTATCATGGTTATCGTTGTGATATTTATTTTCTTCATTATTATGTTTATCATTATTTTATTTACTATATTTACTGCAAATCCTGTATAAAATTGATTAGCAAACTGAAAAAATATTAAAAATATAGCGATTTTAGCATATATTAGCATTTTATTATATAATATTGAATAAGATTTAATATAACTAATTGAAAAAATTCAAATAATATTTTATTTTATTAGTTCACATTTTAATTAAATATATAAAATATATACAATTCAACCTAAATCGAGAGCTTCTCTAAAGTCCTAATTTATATAAAATTTGATTAAAGACTGTTACTAATAAGATGTTATAAGATTAATCTGATATTTCAGATGAAGTTTAAATTAAAGATTAAGAACAATCGGGAGATTTCTGATTTGACTTTATTTTTAATCCACAACTATAAATTAGTTTCAATAGTTCATTCTATTAATATCTGATAAATTTTTGATTTATAATATCCTGATTGGGGTTAGTTGTATACTGATTGCTGCCATTAATTGATCACAATTGGCATTCATGAATATGGTTCAATATTCTCCAATCAGCATCCTACCAGTATCCAATAAGAAAGGCTATTTGTATCTGATCGAATGCTGATTTATCATCATTAGACTAGTGCAATTCTCCAAGAAATATGACATTACTTTACTTACATCATTTGTATATTCTTTAAACTTCTTATCAACAATAACTCCTGCTCTCAAAGATCTCAAAAAAGTATTAATAACTGCAGCAAAAATACAAGAAATAGAATACAAGGCAAAATCTATTCAAGAAGCAATCAACCAATGATGTGAAAATTTCATCATAAATCAATCAGCTATATTTGACTCTCTTCTTGATTGTCTTTGTATCACTATTCTTTTAGACAGATGTATTAATAATAACAGTTCTGAAAAAGAATTGCTCACAGATCCTACTGATGTTAAAAGAGAAATAGCTCAACATTTTCAGCAAGTCGTCAGCTCGAGATACTCTAACCCATTAATCCTTAATTTATAGAAAGATGAATATGCTCTATTAGATAATATTAATTCCACTATTTATGACTCCCTTATGCAACCTCCTACAGAAGAAGAATAGTCTAGTATCATTAATTTCCTACCTGATGGTAAAGCACCTGACCTATCAAAAATATCAAATGAAATGTTGAAACATCTTGACCTTTTTACTTCAAAATGTTTTTGAAAAATCGTATGTTGCTATCTAACTTACAACTTAACATCTCATAGATAGAATTTAGCTTTTGTATACCTAATTTCCAAACTAAAACTATAAGAATTTAACCTAAATCACACTCGACCAATTACCTTATTAGAATATCCTAGAAAAGTTCTTATTAAGCTTCTCAATATACTGGCCAAATATAACATTCTAAAAGGTAACAACTTTACAGGTTTCCCTTTTAGAAGCACTTTTGAACCTATTAACATTCTTGATAATATTAAATATGATGCATCATTTCAGCATAATAATCTGTAGACCTTTTTTCAAGATATGTTAAAAGCATATGACAGAGTCAATCTAGGGATACTGATTCGGGCTTTACTTAGATTATATCTCTCTATATATTTTGTTAATCTCATAATTTTAATTTTCGCTTCACGATTTAATCAAATTTTTACTATTCATGGTAATACTGATGCCTACTATATTCTTTCAGAAATAGATCAAGAAGAAATTATTTCACCCATTTTATGATACATATATTATGATCTCCTATTATGCAAAATTTAAAATTCATTATTAGGATATCCAGAACATTAATTAGAGAAAAAATATAACCAAACGGTCTACTGATCAATTTTCAAATCACATTCTAACACTTGCTTACATAGATGATACCTTCTGGATAGCAGATTCTAGGGTGGATCTCCAGAATATAATGACTATTGCTGACTCATTTTATACTCTAAACAGTATTCAAATTAATTAGAAGAAATTAGTTTTGATGATGAATATCAAAGACTCTAGCGTTGTTAACTTCGTGTTTAATGATAAGAATATTTAGCTTTCACCACTCTTCTACAAAGACTCTACTTGTTATCTTGAGGTTTGAATTTCATTATTTAATAATATAACGTACATCAAAAATTAGATCTCAACAGAATTCAAAAAAGTTAAAAATGTGCTGGATAAGAAACAGCTCACAGCAAAACAAATTATTGCAATTTTTAACTTTGTAATTATTCCTCAAATCATTTACAAAATGAAGTTAACCTTTTTACCAACAATGTTTTGCAACATGATGATGGCATCTTTTAGAGCCTTTTTCAAAAACAAATTGTGTTTAACTAAATCCCTGTCTGCTCCTATTATTCACTCAACCTTTGGATACAATTTGACTCATCTTTATGACAAACAAATGTTAGCCAAATCTTCTGATCTGTTAAAAATGATTAATGATATCGCTTTACTAGGAAATACTGCTAGACTGAGAATCATGCAACTCCAACTTATAGAATAGTTACACCTATTACCAATCACCAGTTAGCCTTATGATAATCCTTCACTATTTAAAGACTGGTGGTTAGCCTTTCTCTC